CAAGGCCCAAGGCCCATCTTTTTGACTATTAAATATTATATATTTTTATATAATATTCAAAGCCCAAATCGATTTTGAAGCCCAAATTGCTTCCACTTGGCCTACTTCCATTTACTAAGTGTGGCACTTCCACACTTATAAGGACCTCACACTTTCTACTTTCTATCAATGTGGGACAAAGGTTCTTGAATTTAATTCAAACTTCCAACACTATTTTAGACCACCATACTACTTGACAAGAGTCAGGCAATGAAGTGACATGCGGGCATGGATGAGAGGTATATTAAATGATCCCTCTCCATCACCCGCATGTCCACTTGGAGATGAAAGGGTAAGGCGACACCTGGTTGAGGATGGGATGCACATTTAACTGACCCTCCTTGCTTGTCAGGTCTATTTATCACAAGGGCAGAGTTTGCTTGGTCATCCACGCGTCTCTGGTTGAATAGAACATCCTGGTGTAAGCCTAAACACACCCGATCACTAATGCAATCTCTGGTATGTCGTACTCCGACTGGTCAGTATGCAGGTGACTTGGTCTGTGGTGGCCATGCCTGTCTTTTGATGGGCTCGGCTCGTAGGGGTGGCATGAGCTATCAACATATGTTTTGTAGAAATAAACTTGGTTGTTTTTAGAAATAGTCGCACCATAGAAATTGACTGTTTGAATTAGATTTTTGTTTTGTGAAAACGATCATCATGTGGATCTCATCTTAAATTAAATGCTTGAATACCAAGTAAAACAAAGGAAAAGACCCCTAGCACCATAAAAATGGCCTCAACCGCCACCACCTAGTGTGAAAACGATCATCTTGTCTTTATCCGTTTCTTACGAAAATGAAAACCTTTTCATCCATTCAACATGAAAGTGGATAAAACCATGAATAGGTCCTGGCCACGCCCGAGAGCCTTGATTTTCATGTCAGCTTCTGGGACCCATTTTAGCCTAAAGCCAACTGTACCCATTGAATGACTCAGTTGAATGATATCAATGCAAGTTGGAACTTAATTAATTAATTAAAATTTGATAAAAAAGTGGAGACTTCAGGCGTATATTCAGAATTGTGTAGCTTTGTTCCCATTCGAAAGATGCTAGCTTTGCTCATGAGAGAGTTGTTTCTGCTTAACTATGTTTGTACATCCGCAAAACTTTCAAAGCAAAACTTGCTCTGAATTGGTCGGAACATGTACATGCCCATGTACGTACATGCATGCATGCTGTCAAGGACTCATTAAATAAAAATCTTCGAGTAGTGTAGTTGGTAGAGTGGAAGGAATTGAATTGAGGGGTGTGTCTGCGTGGAGGGAAGTCCTTGCAAAGTGCTTTTTTGACCATCTGGGGTAAATAGAAATGTGCTTTTTTTTACCTCTGCTTACTAGCTGATCAGCCTCACAGAGACACCAGTTTTCTTGATTTGCTTGCTCCTTCACCACCATGGCAACCATGCGGTTGCTGCTCTTTCTGGCTTTCTGCTCTGCTGGGATTCATGTGATCTTTTCTGAAACAAACTCCGGTGATGGTATGGTCTCAAATATCAATGTTTATTTGTCCATTTATTGATATTTCCTAGTTAATGGGAAATTAGGGTTTTGGTAGTTTGAGCTTTGGCCTAGATATGCGTTGACTTAGGAAAGACTTTGCAATATCATGTTGATCCTCCTGTTTCTCATGTTTTTGCATGCAAACTTGGTAATTAGTCCTTAGATTGTGTTTAATGCAAGCTTTTCTTAATGTTTTGGCTAAATTTTGATTGTAAGTTGAACATCCTGCACATATGTTATGTGCGTACAAACTTTGTGTTAAGGTAGTAGATTGATTTGTAAGTCTGTTGGTCCAGCTGCTGTTTTCATATCCTTGAAGAGGGCATGGAAGAATCTTCCATTCAGCTGGAACGACGAGTCAAATGATTAGATTACTCATTAAAAAAAAACCTTTTCATGTATCATCTTCACAAAATGGTAGGATATCAACACTTTATCCTTCATAATCCCTCCAAAATGAAAAATCATTCACCTAAGTAACTGCTACTGTCATTTCCTTCTTACCTTAGATTTAGTGACGTATCTAATCCAATTATATTATAGGCACCAAACAATCCCTATACACCTATCCAAATACACAAACATTACTTACCAAAATAAATTAAAAAAATAAATAAGGGGAATAAGGGGCTTATAACTAGGGTTGTGCAGTTGGACCGCAAATACTAGAAATTGCCGTTTTCCGATCGAAATTTACAGCCAGCAAACCTTGAATTTTCCAGTCAACAATCGGTTGCGGTTGGACGATAGAGCCAAAATGTTGCGGATGCAGTTGCAGGATACCAAATTCATCTACAACCGCAACCGGACTGATATAGAGGTCTTCTTCCTCTTCTTTCTCTCTGTTTTTGTTCTCTCTCTCTCTCTCTTGGTTATCTTCTTGAGATATTTAGTCATATACCCTTTCTTAGCACTAAAACTATAAATAAATCCTACACCATTTAATTTCTATAAACAAACCCAAAAAAAACCCAAAAAAATGATAGTTGGAACTATTGAATTTAATTTTAATTATTAAATTACTTTGGTGCCTCATTGAGTGTTTTATGTTTTTTTATGAGGTTTTTGGGTTGGGTTTGTTTTAAGAAAAAACAATGGTAGTTATGTAATTTAAAAGAAGTTAAAAGCCTTTTTGTTATGTTGTAAATGAGTTTTGGGTGTGTTTCTAAAGTCCATTTTATATAGGTTTTTTTTATATAAAATAATTAGGGCTTCTATATTAGGTATTATAGTGAATCTCCATATCTTCTTCCTCTTTGTATCGATCTCTCTATCTCGATCTCTCTCCCTTAACAACGACGCCGCACCAAGTCCATAACCCACCCTCCTCTTTGCCTTAACGACGTCGCTGCTCTCCCTCTATGTTCTTAATTTTTTAATTAATTTTTTTTGCAAATTTAGTAACCGACTGATATTGATTGTAACATCCCACATCGACCAACGGAGAGGGGGCGATGTGCCTTATATGTACATGCTCGTTTCTATCTAGCACGAGACTTTTTGGGAGCTCACTGGCTTCGGAGTTATGGGAACTTCGAAGTTAAGCGAGTTTGGACTAGAGCAATCCTAGGATTGGTGACCCACTAAACATCTCACATCTACCAATGGAGAGAGGGTGATGTATCTTATATGTACATGCCCGCCTCCATCTAGCACGAGGCCTTTTGGGAGCTCACTGGCTTCGGAGTCGAGGGAACTCCGAAGTTAAACGAGTTTGGACTAGAGCAATCCCAGGATGGGTGATCTATTGGGAAGTTGCTCATGAGTTCCCAGAAACAAAACCGTGAGGGCAGAGAGGGGGGCCCAAAACGGACAATATCGTACTAAGGCAAAGCCGATCCGGGATGTGATAGAGTTCTCCAAAAATTCGGAGTCGAGGGAACTCCGAAGTTAAACGAGTTTGGACTAAAGCAATCCCAGGATGGGTGATCCATTGGGAAGTTGCTAGTGAGTTCCTAGAAACAAAACCGTGAGGGCAGAGAGGGGGGCCCAAAGCGGACAATATCGTACTACGGCAAAGCCGATCCGAGATGTGATAGAGTTCTCCAAAAGTACATGTGACTTGCACCCTGCGGGAGTTTGCCCACCTCGAAACTCATTTAGGGATAAATCTCTTCCTAACGTCACATAAAATAGCACTTTTGCCTTAGGGATGAGCAGAAGAATATCTCAAGGATATCTCCATAGTTTTATGAGTGCTATATGAGTCACACAATATGGATTGTTTCTACCACATTGAACTTCTTTCATGGGATCTCCAATCACAGAAGTTGGGTTACCTCCCTAGGTGACTCCCTTATGCGCTTAAGCACATCCCCCTCGACATTTTGCATTAATAGCCTCCTCCACAAGGCATGCATATCAAAACTAGCCTTCACAAGGCATATATAATGTAGGTCATGTCTTTGTTCTCCATTTTAGCACGCTTTAAATATGCATGTTATTAAAATATTTCCTACACAATCTTGCACACAAATAATTAGTGGATTTCACCTCAGTATAATACCACTTAAAAAACAATATAACAATTAATTCATTAAATAAATTTAACTATAAACACTGAGTATTTCAAGATACCCTTACTCCCTTTTGTGCACTCCAAATGACTGAAATCATGATCACATATCCAAGTTGAAATTGTATCTTGTCAATTCTCAATATGAACCTATAAGACAATAAGAAGTCTCTACCAAAATTTTATGCCAAAATCATCATTAATTGCAAATATTTTCGTATCAAATTGAAGATAAATTAGTCTCATAATAAACTTTCATAATGAAATAAATTTCATACAGACACAGTATGTTTGCCAATAAAATATAAAAATTATTATGTCACTAAATGAATATAATGAATCTTTCCCAT